ACGAACCAGCTTCTTATACCACTGAATGCGGAGGTGGGCATCTGACTCCGTATGAAAATTAATTTTCATATCCGAAGATTTTCTGTCTGGAGGACACATACTGCAAGCTTGACGGCCAACGACAGAATGACCATAGTCTGAACCAGCGCACCTCGACCGTAGCGCGAGACAACGAACCCTACCGCAAAGCCGATAGACGGCAAACGGGATGTTGCAAGTAGCGGATGCACGTGGTACCAAGACCTGAGAGGCGTTTGATCGTGGGGTGAGACATTGGCGATGTGCTTGATAGTCTCAAACCGGTTGTTGGCTTCCAGTAAGTGAGGCTAAACAGGTGAAAGAGCTGGACAAGGAAACATTACCTGTACCCTGAGAACTTCCTGTATCTGTAGCTTGGCGCTACACTCACATTGCGGTTTCACGACAATCGCACTCTTCCGACGAGCTTATTTCGATATCACCGCGACAACCGCGACAACCGCCAGTGATTCAACAGCTCTTTCGCTGGGTATTTTCACAATCTACTCCAACCTACTAGTGGATCCAGAGCTCGACATGAACCGACCGCAACGCTTCGATGTCGCTCTCCAGGTACCGACCAAGCTCATAGGTCGGCTCGTGAGTAATTGCCGTTGTACGAAGTGCATGTGAGACAAACACTGACTTCGTACATCCATCTTTAGGTGACAGATAGAGTTGCATGCCGCGAGCATACCGAAGTACTGCAAGAGAGACCTCAAGATGCCCGAGCGTGTGCGAGGAAAACTGAATATCGGCGCAATATGCTGAATGCGCTCGTTGCAGCGTGTGCGCAGACAGAAGGCTTTGCTCAGCGCGATGTTGCTTTCAAGCTAGTCGAGAAGTTCAGGACTCTGGCGCAGACACTGGATAGGTCCAAGGCTGTCGCATTCACCTTTGGTGTCGAAGAAGACGAGGAGATTGTAGCTTTGCCGATCGAGGAGCAAGTTGCTGCGAGTGGGGATTCGTCGCCCGAGCCACAATCTAGTCCGCTTGAGCTTTCTACCTCAATGCCTGCCGGGGAAGACGCGTTACACCCTCTCTTGGTCGCGCTCCTTGCCTTCAAACTAGGCGGTCCCATCAACGCAGCCTTTACTGGACACCAACATGAATGGAGACCCCCAATCGACACTGCGCGCGATACACCAAGCTTCTACTCTGAGGGCGATGTAGGTGACTTCTTCGATGATATTCGAATAACGGTAGTGTGGGAAATGCGCGATGATAAAGCGACCGGTCCTTCGGGGAAACACAGTGTCTTCCTGACAGGCGATGCCACGCCCCGACCGCTGGAAGCGCTGACAGTACAAAAGCGGACTGAAGCCAGCTCACCAGTTACTATACTCTACGACTGCGGACACGCGGCGTTATATTACGTCTGCGATGATCCAGACGCGATGCGTGAGAGCAAGAGCTTGGATGTCCATCTGAATACCATCTCGGACAAAGACGTTCGCCTCCTGAATGCAGCAACAGGCGACGAGTCTCGTGGGAAGCCATCACTAACAGAATTGGTGACCAGCTTTCCCATCGAAAATTATGCCAACCACTTTCACGATATCCTTTTCGACAGTGTCTCAATCAACGCCATCTTCACCAAACTTGATATGTTCGACGTACCGCCAGCGCCAGCTCTTCCCCCAGACCGGCAGCATCTGCAGGACAAGCGATTTGACGCATACAAGAAGGAAAACTTGGCTCATTTGCCAATTGACATCAAGAGACTGGCGGGCGACGTGTATCTAGAAGGCAGCTATCCCAATGCAGCCAGCTTCCTAGATAAGGTCGTTCTGAAAGCACGCCGCGACGTTCATCTGCCTGTTGGGGCCAGCCTTTTTCCACAGTCCCCTATGGAAGAGAACATGGAGTGGGCACGGAAGTCCATTCGAGACCTAAGCGAAGACCTGGTGTCGAGTCGCGTTGCACACTACGCAACAGCTCTCGTAGATTCTGCGTATGCAACCAGAGATCTGATTTCGACCGCGAATTTGCGCAATTATGCGAAGATGCTGGAGCGGCACTATCTGGAACTCATCGGCATTGGTTTCACAGACGACGCATGCTCGCTTCCGTCGATGGCTGCCTTAGCTTGTGCTTTCGGTAACGCTATCGATGGGCTCAAGGAAGTGCAGATTGTGGCGGAACCATGGATCGAAGAGATGGATCTGCAGGTCTTTCAGACGCGCTGTTTGTATCTCTTTTGGTGCGCCGACTGGTTAGTACGCTACCTGGTGAAACCAGAACCAGGACCGTTCATGATCATTGATGAAAAGACGGCCATAGCAGGTGCGCAAGGTATGGGACGAGCGGTGCGTCGGATAGCGACTATGCTGTTGCGCAACTGGGTAGCCTGGAGTCTTTTAGTAGAGGGCTTGCCACAAGGTGGTTTCTTCGTCCGAAAATCGTGAGCATAGCTGCGACGATGATTACTCATGGTGTCCAGAGCGGCGTGGCGGTGAAAAATCTAGGGGTAGATCCGAGATTTGAGGCTATACCTAATTACTTCCCGTGTCCGACTGGTTCGCGGACCGTGTGCCTGGGAGCCGGAGTCGTGCTGCAATGAATGTTCTGCGAGTTCACGACTATGTTGATGCAGATGCAATACAAGTGATGTAACAGTCTCTCAGTGCGCGACTAGAGAGATGGCGATGAGATGGAAAAGGGTTCATGCAGGTGCGGGATGTCGCTGCCGTTACTTTCGGTGACGGGACGCTAGTCGGGCGCTAATCCGGATTCGCTTCCAGAAACCCCTCCGGAAGTCATGCAGCTGTCCTTTCACTCAAACAATTCTCCGTCAATCCTGCGCATCGCTCCAATCCTACGAAGGTCTCACGGTGTGGCTGGTGACATTCCATCAATCGGCGGCCGGCGGCGTGAACGTGCTTTCTGTATCCGCAATGGCGTCTGACCTTTTGCGCCACGCGACAGCGGCGCCACGCGTCTGGACCAGTTGTTTCGTTTCACCATTGATCTAACACGGCAAGACACGAACACCTGATAGTAGTCCAGATTGCCCGCGTGCTGTAGAGTATTCAACTCTGGGTAAGCTGTATGCTTAGTTGCAGTGAGATTCTGCTCAGCGCTACGAGGCTGGCAATCGATTTGACGGAGAATTGTCACAGAGATCGCCCACCACCATCTGCGATTCGGTCACATCCAGATCTCGTTTCATTTATACAAAGCGGAGTAGCCCCAACCGAGGATCCACCTGTTACATGCTGCGAGAACACCGGCGCAGGTGCCAGCCGCTTTGTGCCCTCATTTCTCGCGGACCCTAGACCTTCTGCGATGACAAGCCTTGCCCAGCAATGACAAGCTCAAGGAGTATGAGCTTGTCGACGACTCGTGTGAATCCTCCGATGTCTCCACCTATCAATACGTACCACTGTCGATGAAGCCCTGGTATAAAGGCTGCCTTGCGGCACCTCTACAGCACCCATCAAGTCACTCATTCATTCATTCTCTACACAACAGCCTTACATTCCCTTCAATCATCCTATTTTCAAGCTACATTCATCATGGTTGCTTTCACACTTACCTCTCTCCTTCTTGGCGCTGGTGCGCTCGTCTCGGCTGCTCCTTCCAGTCTTGACACCCGTGCAAGCTGCACCTTCTCCGATGCTGCTACAGCCATCAAGAACAAGGCTTCTTGCTCTGCCATTGTCATACAGGGTATGACTGTTCCAGCAGGAACGACCCTTGACTTGACAAAGCTCAAGTCAGGCACCACCGTCACCTTCCAGGGCACCACCACCTTCGGCTACAAGGAGTGGGAGGGCCCTCTCATCTCTGTCTCGGGAACCAACATCAAAGTCATTGGCGCCGCTGGCCATGTCATTGATGCAAATGGTGCCAAGTGGTGGGATGGCAAGGGAAGCAACGGCGGCAAGACGAAGCCCAAGGTATGTTGATACTGATCTTTTGCTGAGCTACAACTGACTTGGCAAGTTCTTCTACGCCCACTCCATGATCTCGTCTTCCATCACTGGACTCAACGTCAAGAACACCCCTGTACAGGGATTCTCCATCAACGGCGCGCAGGATCTCACCCTCGACAAGATCACCATCGACAACACTGCTGGTGACGTCACCAACGGCGGCCACAACACCGATGCTTTCGACGTTGGCAGCTCCACCGGTGTGTACATCACCAACGCCAACATCAAGAACCAAGACGACTGCCTGGCTGTCAACTCCGGTACCGACATCCACTTCACCGGCGGTACCTGCTCTGGCGGACACGGTATCTCCATCGGCTCTGTAGGTGGCCGCAGCGACAACACCGTCAAGAACGTCATCATCTCCGACTCCACCATCACCAACTCTGACAACGGTGTCCGTATCAAGACCGTGTCTGGTGCCACCGGTGCTGTCTCTGGTGTCACATACAAGAACATCACCCTCAAGAACATCGCGAAGTACGGCATCGTTATCCAGCAAGACTACCAGAACGGCTCTCCCACTGGCAAGCCCACCACCGGTGTCCCGATCACTGGCCTTACCATCCAGAACGTCAAGGGTACCGTTGCTGCCAAGGGTACTGACGTCTACATTCTTTGCGGTAAGGGCAGCTGCTCCAACTGGACCTGGACCGGCAACAGCGTCACTGGCGGAAAGAAGAGCACTAGCTGCCTCAACATCCCTACCGGCGCTTCTTGCTAAGTTCCAGAATGAGACGAGTGCTATACCTTGGAGCACCGTGAAGTAGCTTTTGAGCGGCCTGTGGCCTTTTCTATTTTCTCTTGTACATCTTCCTCTTTCAGTAAATATTTAGTCATCGTAGCAGCTACGCTGCTCAGCGATAGACAATTCAATCTATTGTTGTAGCAATCTGCATTTTTATGACAATTGTGACTGACATTTAATCACCAATGCATTCGTGCGCAGCAAGTACATCTCGATGTTGCTTGATAAGCGGATCTCGTATTGTCTGTTCTCAAAGGGAATCTATCCAAGCCCGTCATTGTCGTCCTTGTCCCGTCCTAGACCCTCGGCGGCAGCACAGTAGGCACTGGCCCCCTAGTTGTCGTCCTTGGCAACTCAGGCACAGCAAGGGTAGGCAAGCAAGCACACGCACTGCTAACCTGCGCAACCACTTGCTCCCCCGCACAAGCCTCCTGCGCAAACTCAGGCACAGCACGAACATCATCAATCAGCCTCTGAGTGAAATTACCGCAGAACTCTTGCGAAGCCTGAAGTCTACCCTCCACGTTTGCTGTGCGCATCGACGTAAGACAAGAGTCTACTTCGCAAACGGCTGGCTTTGCACACTCCTTGCTCGACATCTTGACGACGAAGCTACCACGCTCGATAGTGTGCACGAAGATAAATCCGCTCTTGAAGTTCGCGTAGCTGGACCAGGAGCCGAGGAAGGCTACTGTGCCGCCACCTTCGTTCTCGTCGTCTTCGGGGTAGATGTCGAAGAATCCGGCTTCGCAGATGCCGTCGCCACTGGGATCCTGCGTGATGGTGTGGATGTCCAGGACGTTGAGACCGTTTCCGTAGTTCGATTGGTAGAGGTAGTCGCCAACGACGTATTGGTTGTGGTCAATACTGCGGCGCTTTCCCTCGTAGTTGCCGGAATAGAAGGGGTTCTCCAGGTCGCGGATGTCGAAGATGTGGGTGGTGGGCAGACCCTGTGTCATGGGACCGACTTTGGCGTCGCGCTCGTCGAATTCATCGTCGAGGAAGATGTATTCCTGCCAGGTTGCGTTGTTGACGACACCTTGATGGACGTACTCTGCTCCAGGGTATGTGGTGCGAGAGATGATGTTGGTGGTGTTGCCGGCTTTGTCAGTTACGTCGTAGATGGTTAGTGTGTCTTCGTTGTAACCATAGCAGATGTCGCGGCCGTAGTACTTCGTGTCTGGTCCGCGGTAGACGATGCATTCGGCATCGTGGACATAGCCATCAGCAGAAGCACAACCTGGGCTGGTCGGGTTTTCAGGGTCGCTCATGTCGATGAAGATGAGGCCTCCGCGACATGGCAAATCGCCGCGGACACGGATAGTCTCGTTACCGCCAACTGATCCAACTGCCACGGCGTAGTTGAGTTCCTCGTTGACAACGATGTTGTGGGTTCGGCCAACCGGGAGAGCATTCCAGTCATCAGTCAGACCCCAGTGACCGGTCAAATCATCTTGGGTAAAGTTCATCGGCTCGCTTCCGTCGAGGTCCAACAACTTCTTCATGTCGAAGATCTGAACACCGTGGTTGATGGCCTCGCTACCAATGACGGCATAGTCCCTCATCACGCGAATCTCGCGCCAGCGGGATCCGACAGGGTCGAAAGGAGGCAGGCGGCCCAGATAGATCAGCTTTCCTTCGCTGCTGATCTCTGCAAAGGCGGTACCGTCGAACTGGCCGATTGCTACAAACTCGCGTCCATCCTCTGATGTCCAGCCCCAAGAAGAGGAGCCTTGTCCATCAGAGCTGCCAAGGAGGGAATGTGGGAGGAAATGGTAGAGGTCGATCTACGCACATTAGCGAGCTGATGAGCATTTGAACTTAGAGCCAACTAACATTATGGCACCTGAACGTGTTGTTGAAGTCACCAGGGATTGCAGCAGCGAAGCCGTTCTCACATGGCGTGTGACTTAGTTCAGGGTAGCGGGTGCTATCCATCTCTCCCGAGGCAATCTCAGCATCCCATTGCGCCTGTTGGGATCAGTATGAGCATGTACCGGCGTGCACCGACAAGGAAGCCTTACGATCTTCATCCCCATGATCCTTGCATGCACAGTACCATCAGCATACTCTTCCGCAGTACCCAAGGCGGCCGCATTACTCAGCCCAACCAAGGCAGAGCCAAGAACCGACAACGAAGATACGTGAACCATGACGATAGCGATTCTCCGTCAGCCCAATGGTGCGAGATGTTCCTGGTACCTCACATATCCAGCGTCACCGCGCCTAGATATACACTTTTCCATGTTCCTTCCGGTAAACCACGAGCCGATATCCTCCTTGGTCCTGCAACAGTCCTCACTACGATACCCTCCAAAACCTGTTAATCTCTTAGCCAACTGCTCGCTAAGGTACAAAAGATCTAGTCCGTCAGCCCCGATGACCTGGTTAAGAAGGTCGCTAGATACCATCTCTTGGGACACAGAAGACTGCTTGGAAACCGCTTGGTAACCAAGACCCCAATTGTCGGTAAACACTAACCCACACTACTTGCCGTTTTCTCAATGGTGGGTGCTAGCGCTTGGCCCACGTTGAGCTGCACTTGGCGGCTTCGGCGCCGAAGGTGGAGGTCTAGGCACGGCCTTGGAAGTCGGCATGGGATTTACCCCGCTCCGCCGGCCTACTATGGTGGCTGGGTGTCTGTGCTAGGCTCCACTGAGGCTTCGTTTTAAGACCATGGCTTCTCTTTCGATTTTCGTGCGTCTATGGCTAGCCTAACTCTGACGTGGGCTTACCGTTCACTAAGCTAGGTCAACATGGATTTCAGCCAGCTTCTGGTGTTTATGCCAGAGCTTTTTCAACAATGTGCGTTGTACTTTAGTCTTTGTAAGCTACGCGCGATACCTAGGTATCGCCTTCAGTCAATTTGCTAATCTACGGCGTTACCCGTTACTGGCTCGGACAAAATGAGTGTGGTCCTTCAACGCACTTCTTCCAACCTTCATGAGTATCTTCATGAGATGCTCAATCTACACTCGCAGCCGCGAGGTCCGTCACGCTCAAAAAGTCTAGCTTTTCGAACGCCAAATCCAAATCGAAGTCTTCAAAGCAAAAAAAATCAATGCTGAAATGCATTGGACAGGTCGCGATCGTAGTGGACTGAAAAGTCACAACTACGTCAGTGAGGCTCTGTCCTCACCCTACGCATACCGTTGGAAAACGCTTAGCTCATCGGTGCCAGCCGGTTGACAATGGGGTATAATGCTTTTGGTAGACTCGCAAACGCCGGAATAAAACGCTCAGTGTACTAAGGAAATATCGGCCGTAATCGTTGTGTGGGAAGGAGGGCGCGGGCGAGGGCACCGCTCATAGTCGAAGCTGATGCACATCGATAGATGGGACTCAGCATGCTTCACAACAAAGCAGAAAACAAACGTTAAAGCGTTGATAGCCCCGTCCAGTGGTCCACGTTGTGTGAGTCGACGAACTAACGCCATCCATTTTGGCCAAATTGGGCATTGTTCAGCGATGACCTCCCATCATTTATGTTCATTGCAGGGTCCATAAAAGATTGCGACCAGTCTTCTTGATGCATCAGCTCATCAAAAGGCATGTTGCTGGATGTTTGCATCGGCATACCCTGCTGAGGTGGATATCCGCGGTACTGCTGGTTACCCTGCATGAAATACATGGGCATGGAAGTAAAGATCTGTGCCTCACTGTCCATGGGTCGGGCTTGCGAATTGGGCGTGCTCGTGGGAGCAAACATGGCCGGGTGTCCTTTCATCTCCATACTGGTCGAGAGTTGAGGAGGGTGTCCGCTCACCGGGGTGCCAGTACTGCGGTCGAAAGTTTGTGGATGTTTGTTTTCAAAAGCAGTCATGGGCTGGTTGGGGTAGGCGAGCGGGTCGGCAGACGGAAACATCATTGTTGAGATGTCTGCGATGGGGACATTAAGACCTGACGGGTCTGCCAAAGGGTTGCCTAGGCTTGTTGGACCAAAAGCAGATGATGTCTGCTGCGAGTCATGAATAGGAGCCAAGCCAAAGCTCGGTAGGCTATCGTTGGATGATGTAGGTGTAAGGCCTGGCACACCATCGAATAGATTGGGGTTGGAGACCGAGTGTGCGGGATAAGAAGAACCCAAGCCGATGCTACCAAAGTCAGGGCCGCCAGACTCAAATGACTGGGCTTGGCCAGCAGTCTTGACATTGGGAATGCTATCGGGATAGGTACTCGCACGGCGGGGTGCGGCAGAGTCGCTCTGACCAAACGTAGGGCGGGTGCCAAGAGAGTGCGGCGAGCTTCCTTGTCGGCGCTTCCTCGATGCAATGATCTCTCCACCATGTCTGATTGATTCCGGGAGACGTTCAAACATGCCCTGGGAAACATTATTAGTGTTGTCAGTCAGAAGAAACTAGTGCTGTGCCTACCTTTAGTGCTGTGCTGCACCTATCAGCGGCCAGGCTCCTCTTCGCGAAGTACGCCAATACGTCCTTCCCTTCCACTGCATCCCGTAGCAATTCAAAACTGGTGGGACTCTGTGGGTTCTCCAAGACGAAATACAAAATTGATACAATAGCGAAGAAGGTCGTATACATGGAAAACCAGTATGCTCCAGCCAATTGGCCGCGATTTCTCATCTCCGTGGAAATGTGGATAATATTGCGCGAGACGTTAACGCAGGCAGAAGCGCAGGCAAAGGCTCTCTGGTCCACGGTGTTCACGTTGTACGATTGCGAAACGTAGTGTAGGAATGGCCGATAGAGTAAAAGCTGCGCATGTCCGAACGCCATACGGAGAAGTTGTTGCACCCTGCGTATATGTCAGCAGCTGCAAAAATGATGTTAGATAGTCAGCTTACCTCCTGATGATTGGAGGGGCATCACCGCCCGGCCTGAGCGCGATAGGCAGCTCATCGAGCCATCTTGCTAGATCCTGTTCGATTTCGCGAATCTTGGAGTAGCCCACAGAATAGGTCACAGAGTTCTTGGCGCCTGATTGTGTGCCTTTGATAGGGTAGACGTACTTGCAGATCTTGTTCAAGATTTGGACGAGACGCGTGTGGGCATTGAAGGCCGCCATGACAGAAATGCTTCCATTGGGCATGGGCAGAATCTCCGTCTCCGTAATATACTCGTCATCGACCTCAACTGGCCACTCTTGATCAATGTCCTCATCGTCCAGAAATCGCGGTAAACCGAGCATGGCCCCGACGTATGTGTCCATCCTTCGAATCACCCAAAATATGCGTTTACGTGTTTCCGCTTCGATGGGATTGAACTTGACGTTGAATGAACGGTGCAAGCCCATGCGTAGCGCAGAGCGCAGAGCAACTCCGATGTAAGCATAGCAAGTGCTAAGCTTGGCTGACGATTGCAAGAATTGGATCATGAAAATGATGGCTTGAAGTGAAGTCAGATCCCTGCAGTCAGTAATGTCCAAGAGCTGGCGCGAAGCTTTGAAGTACTTGAGTCTGGACCGCATTAGCATGGACGAAGCTCGCACAGGGAGACTTTGCTGCGTACCCCTCGTCGGTAAGGATGTCGTAGCTTGCTACATCGACCCCGGTGTCATTTTCGGAATAGAGTTTGCCCAAAGCTAGAACGGAGTAGAATAGAGGTAGAAAGCTAGTCTCGGCGCTGCCGTAATTCTCGGGAGCGACTTCGTAAAGACGGCTCATTTGCTTGTAGAAAGTGGGGAGATGGACAACGCGCAGCATGGCGCTGTACTGGATGATGGCACTGTCACAGAGAATGCGTGCATTTTCCTGGCTGGGCAGGGGCACGTTTGACGGAGCTGTAGTGGATCCAGCGATTGAAAGGGAAGGAGACGGCGGTTCGTAGGACATGGATTGGTGCCGGAGGGACGGCGACTCGTCCGAAGGGATTTGGAACATGTCATCGAATTGCCGCAGGCCCCTCATAAAGCTGAGTCCTGAAGAGTGGCCCTGATAGTCCCATTTGCCCTCTTCGTCGAGATCAAGCTGGCCCGTCGCTTTGACCATGGCTTCCAGGTGCGAATCAGGCTGGTCTTCATTGTGGGCCGGTGCCTGGTGTTGCGCGATCCGGGGGTCTACAGGCATCACAGGAGGCCGCACAGCTGCTTGGGGCAGCTGTGGTAACAGGCCGTTCTGGAGGTGGGCGTCTATGGCGGGGTCATTCAAATCCACGGTTGGCAGCACCACGTGCAGTAGCGCCTTTGCGCGCTTGAGCTGGCTTTCGAGAGCCTCAATGTACTGGGGCGTCGCATTGCGGCGGCGGTTTGAGGGCTGGTCATAAGTGCTAGAGGGGGTCAGTTCTGTGAGCAGTAGCGAATCCGTTAGGAGAGGGTATTTACCATTCTGTAGGCTGTTAGCTTGCATTCTCCCACGCAATTCAGTGTACACACAGGACATACCATAGCTGTAAACAGTGCAATGGGTGCACGGCTGCTTGCCGTCGCACTTGATCTTCTTGCGCCGGCATTCGTCGCAGGCACGCGTCACTCGTCGTCGCTTCTGGGGTTGCTGTTTCGGTGCGTGATCGTCGCCGACGTCATTGGTTTCTGAGTTTTCCTCGCCAAACTCAGAGGCGTCTTCCTGCGGGTTGTCGAAGGGGCCCGAGCGGCCCGCGTCTGCTGGAAGGCTCTCAGTTGTCGTGAGGGCCGGAGAAGTCATGGGTGTCGGGAGGAGAGTGTAGCCAGCTGTGGCTGGGGGGAACGCTGCGCCTAAGAGCAAAGTGGTGGATGCGCGCGGCAGGGGTGTGTGAAGACGGCGGAGAAGCTTGTGGGTCAGGGATTAGAGTTGGGTTAGCGCCAGCGCATGGCACCGTCCCGCCCTTTGGACGCCGGAATCGAATCGTTGCTCTCCGCCGAGTCGTCCGCTTTTCACTCCTCACCTGGCAGCCAAGCCTGGAACTGGTGCATTCATCTCGGCGAGCTCCCTCGACGCTTTCTGGAATTGCCCACGGCCGCATCGCACGCTGCCAGCTGCCCGCTGCCTCTGCACAGCATACACACCGCTCCTGCGGGCCCCACTTTCCGATAAACCTCCTCAGTGATACGCCACTCTTGCACCTTGCCAAGTCGTCAAGCACAGCCATGCTCACCTGTGCCCTGTGGCGTCATACCGCTGCTGGCATGTGTCCTGGGGACGCCCATGGGTTGAGACAGAGGTGAGGGGTCCTGCTGCGACGCCACCCAACAAGTCGTGGAGCCCTGCGTCCAAGCGAAGCCGAGCCTTCTCCATGGCTTTTGGAGCAACTCAAGCCGCATTAGTGGTCTGATCCGCCATTCCGTTGCAGTTCAGTCGTTCCCCGATATTCCTCGTGCGCTCTAAAGCCACTACTTCGAGCAAAGATCAGCCACCGATAGACTCGCTTACGGCTGAGGTGTCGAGTGGCACCGTATTCTCCTGCCAGCCATCTGTCATACGCCCAAGCGAAGACAAATATTCACCCCAGATGTGGGCTCTTCGGTCTCTCATCCAGGGCGAGCTTCCGAAGGCCTGTCTACCCACCAGCACCAACCAGCATGCAGCCTTGCGCGACAGATCTTAGCGCCGGATAAAGTCGCCATGATGGTGACAGCGTGGCTTGACTGCGGCTGGTGACCCTGGCCGTCGTCTGCAGTACACCGGCAGACAGACGTCGCACACGGCTCTGCCATGCCTGGGCTTCTCCCACAAAGAGGAAATGTACAACAAGCGAAAGATTCACATTCACATCCCATCTGTCGTGCGCATTCGGACAATTTCAGTCAATTCATTTGTTTTCCGTAACTGTTCGTTTTCGGGTGACGACCTTGAAAGGTGCTTAAAACGTTCAGTGGGGCCAACTACCGCTTTAGTTTCCCCATGAATACAATCTGCCAATATTGTAGAGCGTATCGACTCGCCAAGCGGGAAATCCTTTGAGATGTGAGATATCTTGAAGGCAAACTCTGCTCAACCAGGCTCGTTTATGCGTGTTCTGCCTGGCGCATGTCGCCTAATTCTCCACGACCGTTTGCGATGCTTGTCAACCGATCTCTCGCCACAACTGCAAACATGCATATATATGGATTCCCACGAGTAGTCCTGTCGGAGGTACCGATGATGGACTCATGTCATACCGAGGTCCCTTGGCACTGCCACGCTTGCGGTTATGGAAGCCCACACGGTGGTTATTGGAACACCCTACGAGGTTTTAGTGGTGCTTGTCTTGAGCTATGTGTGCCGACTTCCGGATGACTCAGCGGATCGCTTGTTGCACCCACTTTCGCCCGCCGGGTGGTCGCGCGCTGACTCGGCGGGTGCACTGGCAGGTCACGGTCAGCGTTTAATTCGAATGCCGTTGGCATTGGCATTGGGCTGATCGTATTCCTGCTCTAGCCACAACACTAGCCACACAGCCAAGAGGAAAACGCACGATATTTCCTGCTGATGGTCACCTGCCAATGGGCCAAGCTACGTCAGGAGTGGCGCAAAATTGTCTGGGAGATGGGCCAAGTCATGACTCCGTCTTGGTGAAACGTGGCTGAACAGGAGAATGTGTGCATGACGCCAAGCGAATCCAGTCTCGCGATCGGTTCGAGTTGTGGCGCATGACGATGCATATGTCGTTGCGAGAAACCTTGCAAGGATGCTGTCCATGTGCTTAGCTTGCTGCTTGCGCCTGTACGTAAAAGCCAATGTAACCTACAGGACGAGGGGCCGATCACCGGTGACTCGTCCGTTGGGGCTCTCAGGCAACATCTCGAATCGAGGCGTAGCGTGATGGACCATCAGGATATGGATTTACCTGAGGCTCCTTGGCTCTCTAATGTGACGTTCACTGCAGATCCATGCAGCCTCTGTGATCGACAATTTAAGCATCACACCCGCAGTAGGACCGCAATCGAGATGCGTTTAGTGAACCACGATCAGCGCACCCTGCAATGTGGTGGTAATCGCGAAAGAAAATTTTGTATTCTCGTCATGTTTGCCAGCAACAAGCTTCGGGCTGAACACACCCGTCACTGGTACCCGCTTCAGACTTACTTGCATTAGCTTCATCCTGGTCGTGAATCCGACTTCGGCATCGAGACAGCCATGAGATCCATCATCGAAACGTTTTCCCCATGCTGTGACGTAGTGGGCGATCTGGCTCCGGTAAAAAGGTCGAGATCCAAACTACGGCTAGGTAGCACAGACTAACGGATTAGCCTCCGGAATTCTGGACTCTGATTGTACTTGGTCGAAGGGTGAGCATCCTTATGACGAAATGAGTATGATTGTTGAATTGGCGTTCTTTGGAGCGCCCACAACAGCATGGCTAATTCTGCCTGCATCCCTAATGGAAAGCGTATCGACGGCTTCACATAAGCGTAGGTTCGTCGAGATGCATGGCTGAGGACAGCGGTGTCTTGCCTGTCCTCCGTCCGATGCACAGTTGGAGCGAATGACGAGATTGTGACAGATGTTGAAACTAATGGAGGATGCCGAAAGTAGTGAATGGGTTACCGGATTAGTTGGATAGCCCGATACTCAGGCAACTATACATTGCCAAGATTTCTGTGTTGTAAATCGAGCATGTATACTACGGACGCGAGAGGCGAAAGACATAGTAGCCGTCGATTTCACAAACCTTAAAGAAGACCGGGATGTACCGACTCTGGTACAAGCAGTCTGCGTCAACTAAGAGCCGTTAGCATCCGTTCAAGAGCCGTGATAGAGAATCTAGACCTACGGGCCGAGGCTACCGAATGCGTACGATCATTGCGTGTGCAATACAATGGTGCCAACGACGAATGCATCCGCTTGCAAGTTGGGATATGCGCTTCGAGCATCTGCAGCACAAGCGACGAGGCAGGGTGCAGCTACTGTCGAAAAATAATTGCCGGGCGAGATGATGATGGCTGGCGAGATGGATAAACGCGTTACGACAACGTGGGTCGTGGTTGTTCTTGCAGACGCTTCTGCTTACCAGGACTGATGATGCGCGTGGCAGAGCTGGGAGGCGTGCCTGCCTAGCATGAGCCAGATGGGGCGCAAAATTCATTTTGCAGCTCAGTCTGGCAGGAGCGAGAGCGTACGCTATCGTGACCTTCTTCGATTAACAGTATTACCTGCAGGCCGTTCCCTCCAGCCCGACAAGTATTGCGATGTATACCTTAGTACGGTTCAAAGACAGAGACGAATACATTTGTGAGCCGCGATGTTCAAAGGCATCAGATACACAACATCGTCGCGCTCTGGCGCTCGCTCACCCTGGCCTATCTTTAACCAGAGCTGGTCATCGCAAAAGCGCTTACATCGTTGCTGTTCGATATATTGAAGACAGACACATGCTGAATATCGATAGAGACATACGCATCTGAGTAGAGTATCGGATCAGAACGACGGTGAGTGCTGGTCCTTGGTTTGGACTTAGAGTACTTGTAGCTTGCAGGTCGGCAGTTTATCCAGATATTGAGGTCAGTTTGGATTGACATGGTCGCAGCGGTAGCAGCATCAGCAGCTCAGACTGGCGTAAAGGACTGTCGCAAAGAAGCACGTGGAGTCGTGCGTTCAACGTGTAGCCTGACCACGCCGCAGAGATCGTTCAGCAATCCATCCCTCACAAGATCACACAGGCCAAATCTGAACTGTTATTTCTTTCGCAGTCGAAGCCGTTCAATTAACCTCAACGACCCTGGAACGCGCGCGTCTGACATGACGGGACGAGCAGGCGGTCCGCCAAATGCTGCGACAGTTCGCCGCAGCGACATGCGTGCATTGTATCCGGACTGCTACCTCACAGGCGAGCGACAAGACGTGCGTTGGTTGTTGGCGTTGGCTGTCATGCAGACGTTGGTGATGGGCAAGCTCACCTCGTTGGAGATGAAGTCACGCTACTGGGTCCGTGCACCACAAACTCGAATATTCAGTTCGCTTAGTCGAGCCACCTGGAATTCGCATCCATCGAGCTCTCCATCACGACAACTAACCTCACAGCACACCGGAGTCGAGCAAAATGTCGACATTCGAACCCGTCATTGTACGTACGCCCCGATAGACGCAGCCCGATATCCCAGGCACTGGCCTTCGCATGCCGCCGCGATGCTAGCCGCCTGCAATCCCGTCAACACCACGCATCTTCCTTGGACGTCTCGCTGACAGCGCACGCAGGTCATCGACGGCAAGGGCCACTTGCTCGGTCGCCTCGCCAGCACCGTCGCCAAGCAGCTCCTCAACGGCCAGAAGATCGTTGTTGTGCGATGCGAGGCCCTCAACATCTCCGGCGAGTTCTTCCGCGCCAAGTGTACGTACACCCACCGAGCGAGCGAGCGAGATCAGGAGCAAGCCATGGAGTGCAATTGGTACATGGGGCTACAAGAGGACGATGTGGTCGGCGATGTGCACTTTGGCTGCTTTTTGGCGGAGCGCTCTAGGGACAATTTTCTGGCAAGACAGCAACTGACATGACCCTACAGTGAAGTACTCTGCTTTCCTGCGCAAGCAGACCCGTTACAACCCCACTCGTGGTGGTACGTATCCCCGTCCATACATGGCGCATTCGCGGTCCAACGTCGAATGTGCGCGTTACTAGCCGACATGTGCTGACCCATCTGCCAGGTCCCTTCCACTTCCGCGCTCCCTCCAAGATGTTCTGGCGAACCGTCCGCGGTATGATTCCTCACAAGACTCCCCGCGGTAAGGCCGCCATGGAGCGCTTGAAGACCTTCGAGGGTGTCCCCGCTCCCTACGACAAGAAGAAGCGCGTCGTCGTTCCCCAGGCCCTGAGGGTGCTGAGGCTCAAGCCCGGACGCAAGTACTGCACTGTCGGCCGTCTCGGACACGAGTTCGGCTGGAAGTACCAGGACGTCGTTGCCCGGTATGTTGCTCCAGCCTATGTCAGCGAGATCAGAAATGCTAATCCATACGCAGTCTTGAGGAGCGCAGGAAGGTCAAGGGTGCCGCATACTACGAGCGCAAGAAGGCTATCCGCCGGCAGATGGCTGAGGCCAAGAAGACGGCCTCCGTCGACTCCAAGGTCCAGCAAGAGCTCACATCCCTCGCATACTAGAAATCGGCAGTCGATGAACAGTGTCGGTTTCAGTTTCGGTGACGTGGTTCGGCGTGGATTGCATTGGGCTCATGGGATGTTTATTTCCTCTACTATACTCCGACCATTCGAAAGGGTGTCCAGGCTAAAAGAGCACATCAATACCAGGGTGCTTACGTGTTCATGGGTCTCTTCGCGGTCGGTCTGCTGTGTCTTCAGGTACTCTTCCGGCTAGAAGCAATACGAAATGAAAAATCCCAGCTGATGTAAAGCATGGTGACGGCGTTGAGCATTCAGCAATAGACTTGTGGTTATGTTAATTCACTCACGATTCCATTTATGCTTTGCATCCACCCTGCCGTGACGAAATGGACAAGTACCTTGCATTACAGCCTCGTAGTCCAATGTGTTTGCTATCCGACGCGGTCGGGAGGATAGGGTATGCCTACTGGCGCTTAACCTCGGCTGTGACGTCGTGCCGCACCGGAACCGGTACCCTTCCCCAGATTTCCCCATGGCTGGGAGCTTCAGGGTCGGCTGTCAGCCATTGCGCCCTGTAAGAAACGTATTAGACCACGTTGTTCAGAGTGTCGCGACATCATTCTTTCCGCCGTCGCGCACCCCTGTCAAAAATCGCGTCCTGCAGCCCTCTCATCGCTCAAGACCTCGGACATCTCTCGCATCTCGTCCCACAGCGGAGCTACTCCGCACTCTGGCGTCTGTAGCTTCAGCTCAGCTGGGCCAAACTGTAGATCAATATTTCCGTCGCGTGTATATAAGCTGCTGTTAGAACGTTGATCAACCAGATCCTCGTGCAGATACAATGGAAGGTGCTAAAGATCGTCTCAAGCAACTCGCGTCGCATTTCACGTCCGCCAACCCTGTCCCTGGGCCACCGCCCATCCATCCCGGCGACAGCCACGAATACCATCATCGACACAACTTCCACACCCTCAGCCCAACATGGTTCCTCTGGCGCGCGGCGCAAATCGAGCCAGACGCCATGGCAATATACCACAAGACGGCGAACGGCAAGATCCTACGACGCTCTTACGCTGAAGCTGCGGACCGCGCACGAGGGCTGGCATACTACCTGAGGAAACACAGGTACAAGCGAGTAGGCATATTGGCCACAAACACACCAGCATTCTTGGAGAGCACATTCGGTATCGCGGCGGCAGGAGGTGTGAATGTCGCTATCAACTACCGGTTGAAGCACGATGACATCAGTTACATCTTCCAGCACTCGGACGTGGACATGATCATTGCCGATGCTGAGTTTGTGGGCTTGTTGGACGAATACAAGAAGGAAAGACCAAACGTACCAATACTGATTGACACAGACACGGATGCGACAGAAGGCGAACTCTCTGGTCCTTTCGACGATGCAGTACTCGAGGGATTGAAGTACGACATTGAGCAAGGAGGCAAGGGCTGGGCAGATCTGGAGTCGCAGGCGAAGGACGAAGAAGACGTCATGGCACTCGCATACACCAGCGGAACAACAGCACGGCCGAAGGGGGTCGAATACACACATCGCGGCGTCTACCTTGCTGCCATGGGCAATGTCATCGAGTCTGGGCTGAACTATCATACCGGCCGCGCAAAGTATCTCTGGACTCTGCCAATGTTCCACGCGACGGGCTGGACATTCCCGTGGTCAGTCACCGCCGTCCGAGGAACGCACTATTGCCTCCGCAAGATCGACTACGCAGAGATCTGGCGCCTGCTCAAGGAGGAAGGCATCACGCATTTCAACGCCGCACCAACCGTCAACACCTTACTCTGCGCAGCGAAGGAAGCAGAGCGCCTACCCCAGCCAGTCAGAGTCACCGTAGCCGCAAGTCCACCGAGCGCATGGCTCTTCGAACAGATGTCAAACTTGAACCTACACCCCGTCCACGTCTACGGTCTTACGGAAACGTACGGTCCGATCACGAAAGGCTACCACATGCCCGAATGGGAAACGCTCCCCGAGAAGACGAAATACGATCGTATGGCACGACAAGGCCACGGCTTTATCATGGGCAAAGCGACGCGAGTCATCAAGACCGAGCAGCCGGAAGGTGTTCTCACCGACGTGGAAAGAAATGGCAAAGAAATTGGAGAAGTCATCTTCGAAGGCAACATCTGCGCAAAGGGCTACTACAAAGATGCCGAAGCGACGCGCAAGTTGTGGGATGGTGGCTGGTTGCATACAGGCGATCTAGCCGTTTGGCATCCAGATGGAGCAATCCAGATCCTGGATCGTGCGAAGGACATCATTATCAGTGGTATGTTGTTGACATTCCGAGCCTCACTCGTTTGAAGCGACTTGCTAACCGAATGGCTCACAGGCGGCGAGAACATCTCCAGCGTAGCGCTCGAAGCCATGCTTTCCACGCACCCCTCCATCCTCGAAGTCGGCGTCTGCGCCGTGCCGGACTCACACTGGGGCGAGCGGCCCAAGGCTTTTGTTACCACAAAGGACGGCACAAACAGCGACACGCTGGGCGATGAGGTGATTCAGTGGGCCAAGGAGAACAGCAACATCAGTCGCTTCATGGTGCCCAGGGAGGTCGTGGTGGTCAAGGAACTGCCCAAGACAAGCACAGGGAAGATACAGAAGAACGTACTCAGGGAGTGGGCGAGGAAGGGCAGTGTAGAGTAGATGTGCTTATGGAAAACATATCATACCTCCTCCACGGGGCCTCTCGGTCGCAAACACAGATGCAGAGTCATGTGTCTGCACCACGCGTGAAATCTGAGCACATGGTGAAGCAGCGTGGTAAGGGAAGCAATCGATGCTGCTTCTCCGTTGAAAAGGAACTCAATGAGCCTGCGGTTCTGACTCAGATGTCAATTACTCTTAATCGATCCATCATGTTTTCACCTGACGGAGCTTTCATCAACACGAGCGAGATACTCAGCGATGCCGAGGCTCAAGCAATCCACAACAGAGTTCAGGACGAGGTTGCCGCTGGTAATATTGCTGACGGACGTGTGGGAAAGTTCAAAAACGATCCTCAATTCGCAGCAGCTAAAGCATATACCGATTCAGAGGTTTCCAAGCGACTGACCGCGGCTATTTTACAGGCTGAGGTTGAAGCTAGGGCCGGACAGGGAGATGAGGATGCAGGTAAATATCCCTCGCTATTCTGCTTAATGCTGATCAGCTGACTCATTGAATGATTCTGAAGCATCTGCAACACGACTACTGGAACAGTACAAAGGTTTTGTCCTCTCCAAGCTGGCTTTATCAGAGAAAGTTCAGAGCCAGATACGCGGGCTGTTTCAAAAGTACGGTTGGCCAACAGTCTGGCAGTCTCTTGACTCAATCGAGGGCTGCGAAGGCGGGCTGAATTGGGGGTGGCAGGCCGTGGATGATCAGCTACTCTTGACGCTGAGGAGGAGGGAATTGCTGAAGATTGAGGATTTGGCTGAGTACATCTTCATTGGTATGAGGGCTAGTCAGTGTCTTGCGCAGTATAAAGCTCTGGATAAAGCTCGGCCAAGGGGGCGGGATGGAGGCGAGCTCGAGGGTGAGATTCAGGAATAGCGCACATAGAGTCCGCGTGATTTCTATCTGGGACGCTCCAATGTAGGGCAATGGATCAGTTCATCTCGATTCAATAAATTCCATAACAATAGGATGATGTGACCTGAAGTTTTGGCCACTGGCGCTTACTAACTGTGTTTGTAGCATCGCCATAAGTTCTGAAATAGCAAGAGACCGAAGTGATCAGAATTTACTGAATATCGGAGGCTATGTTGAGGATTGTCGGAAATATCGCCTACGATGCCGCGTGCTCTGTCAAACGAAAGGGTAGACGACAAGCTACGTCCTGCGTCGATGCCAATCAAGGGCCACAATGGTAGCTAGTGACAAGAATGACCCCGTCCCACAGACCTATATCGCATCTAATCGGCTTGCTAGCAAACAGAAAGTGTTATATAACAATGGTAAGTCAAATCCTGTGTCATTCCTAATGGCACCAACCATGGCTTCCGCACCATCTAATGCAGATGTTCCCGCGCCAGACCCAAGTATGACGCCTACACCGCGACTAACTGATAACCAAGCGCTGAACGACATCGAGGAAATCCGGGATCTGGTCGCACGACGCAACCGAGCGCTCGACTCGTTAGACCTTGATCAACTCGAGAGAGATGGGTTACATACGGATTTGAGTGAAATAGGTTGGCCGGTATCTCTTTGCAAAGGTGGCTCACAGACAGCGAGGCCGAAGAATGAGTCGTTCGATGTCCGCGACCTCTATGCGCTACTCTGTATCATACGGCACATGATGATGCGGCACAGCGATGTTGTGACCGGCGACTTGCGTCTCTTCTTTGAGAATCAGAACAGCAAAAGGTTTGCCAATAAGTGGAGCAACATGCAACGAACATGCAGCAAACATTGGAAGGAAGCAGATGACAAGGACCTGATACAGCTGTACGAGGGCGTCAACAAGACTTTCAAGGATATTGCTCGAGAGAACTTCGCAGAGTTTCGAGAAGCCGTGAGGAGCTTTTCGGAACCGGATATGCAGATCGAGATCGCGTATCTGATTGCGAAGAAAAGGGAAGTGAAAGAATCCGACGATGACGCAGGTAACAGTGCTGGTGACGGAGACTAGGACTCCAGGGGAGAACAATCCTGTGTTGCCGTCCTGATTGAAAGATTACACGGAGCTGTAGTCAGCAGAAATACATGTTCGAGGTAGCCTCTTGTTATCGGGAGGTGATGTCGGCGGGAGTGTGAGAGATGGATACTGGCACGTAGCTTCCAATTCCACGATCGCTAAGTATTCAGCGAGAGCTGCTAACCCAACTGGACGTGTGACTTCCGTAATCCCAATAAGCTTGGAAGGGCGTTGATCCTCAGACAACTGAGCTGAATCACACCAAGCTGTTGCATCGACGCCTTCATCGCAACATGACCCTTCTTGTCACCATGAGCGTTCACATCACGCACCCGTGAATCCCCACGAACACCACATCGAACCAAGCCTGCGCCGCCATGAACACTACTGCCCAATTCGGTGTCTCAAGCCCTTCACACCACATCTTGTATGCCTGCCAGATCGACACATGAGCCGCTGCGAGCACCGCCTTCCCAGCAATCGCAACACCGATAGTGATCTTGCGCTTGAGAACCGAGCCGCTTTCTTTGTCATGCGCGATGAACACGAGATAGGCGATCCAGAAGCACGTTGATACTACGAGAGAGATGGATGCGAAATACGGAAGGAGGGGCGCAGTGCCGATGTGTGGGGTGTGAGGCTGCGTGAGACGTCAATAGAGGACTATCAAATCTGGTTGATTACTTACAGGATCCGCTTGTGTACCGCTGCTTCGACTTGCCCAGATAGTCGCAAAGATAGCGCTGACACAGGAGACAAACACGAAGAGAGCATTCATTAGTCCGCGAGTGGCATTGGTGTGCTTTGCAACAAGACGGTATTCGCTTGAGCGGGGGCGCTGGGTAGCTGCGCCGTAGGAAGGCAGGAGAGGTTCTTGCGACATGTTCTGTATTGTGTACTGCGTATGTCTTGATACTTGCTGCCAAAAGAGAGTGTGTGCAGTTTGTGTTGGAGCTCTCGAAGTCAAAGTGGGGTAATTGGGGCGTGGTGGTACAGATGAGTAAGGCTCAGCTTGACTGTCCGAGCTCATGAATTGAAGCTCGTCTAAGAAAAATGGTATTCTCTATCAAGAGCACAAGAATCGTCTATCGCTTAATGAAGTCAAACTATCCTCTAGTACTCTCAAAAAATGTGTACCCCAACTCACATAATCTATCGTTTCCTCTTCTCCTCCTCCAACCTCTTAGCCGCAGCCTTCTTCGCCTTCTCCCTCCTCCCTACCGCCGCTTCCGCACCAATACCACCAAACACCAGTCCAACACCTAGCCACTGCATGCCAGTAATATCATGACCGAACCACCACACACTCCAAACCATGGTCAGCATCTTCCTCGTAACCGTCACTGTAACAAGCAGCAACGAGCTAAAGTGGGCCAGGGTGTGGAAGATAAAGACCTGGCCTATAGCGCCACAGGCGGAGAACATGAGGACGTCCCAGCCGACAGCGGGGTATGTGGTTATGAACGAGAGCGCGTCGGAGAGTTCACCGGATGAGGAGCGTGGGTCAAGGCCGATCCAGCCAGCGAGGGGCGTGGAGGCAAGGAGAGGAGTGATGAGGAGGTACGACACTGTCAGTGCTGTTGACATGATGTTCTGGGCGCACATCATCTGGGGTCCGGTGAAACCTTTGAAACTGCTGAAAATGTGATCTTGAACCGTGTTCGTAAGACCGTCGAAGAGAAGATTCACGCCGAGCAGTATTAGACCAATGGTCTGCGAGGCGTCTGCGCTGACACCTTTCTTTGCGGCTTTCTTCGCTGTGGACGGGCTGTGTAGTGTAAAGACCGCGACACCGAGGGTTACGAAACCGACGACGGCGTACTTGTACATGGGGTATCGCTTCTGGAAGAGCGAGATGTGGAGGAACATGACCGGGAGCAGTTTGCAGCTCTTGGCTAGGATGAAGGTGACGTAGTCAATGTGCTTGAGACTTGCGTATCCGAAGGGGGACGCGAGCGACGATGTGACGGCGATTCCGAGGAGCGGCATGAGGATGTCCTTCGAGGGGAAGATGGGTAGCACCTTGCGCACGCCGGTCTTGGGGTCTTTCGTCGCGGACAGGTTGAGGTAGAGGAGGCCGGTGATGGCAGCGAAGGCGGATTGGACGGTGTTGAGGAAGATGGAGTACGTGAAGCGCTGGTTGCTGGGACCATGGGTGGTGGTTGTTAATCGCTCTTGGATCCATGCCCAGGTCATGCTATCCTGTGTTAGCTATGTTCCCGTCCATTGCGACCGTCTCATACACGAAAAACGCTGAACAGGTCTGCGGCCTACATTGACGTAAAAACGTACAAAGTAGGCGACGTAACGTCAACGTAGGCTCTAGGGTGACTTACAAACTTCCATATATACCAGCGACACAGATTACCAACTGGAACAGCCCTGCTTCCTTCTGCTCCTGAGGGTTCCGCGCATGGAGCTCTGCTTGCTCTTCCAGCTTCTGCTCGATCGAATGCACCGCACCGTCCAATTGGTGGGCGCCATCCAGTTGGTGCGCATCTCTCTTCGCGTTTCCATTCGTCTCATTGACCTTGCGACGAGAGGCTTCCGCCATTGTGTGTGCTGTATCGTGGGTATCGCTAGTGACGTCGTGGGAGTTGATTGAGGAAGGCGCGCGCCGCGTTCGTGTTGTAGCGTGTCGCGCTGTGTGTGTGTGAAGGAGTGGACTGCGCGATGAGAGTGCGCGAGGGATACAAAGAAACAATGTTTCTCGAGCGATTGTGGGTCAGTGGAAAGTGTACACCTGGCTTTAGGTTTAGATTACACCTGCGCCATAGGCAGTTCCTAAGCTTCAACCGTGGCATCAGTGGCCGGGCCGGGGCTAAGACGGAGTTAGAAGCGAGCACGGGCCGTGTTTGAGCCTCAGGGATCGACTCGACCGGGGCGCGCCACCCACTCGCTAGTGTGTGGAGCGCCGCTTCACTGCGAGCTGGAGGAGCACACACACGATGCAAAGGGCGCGAATCTGCCGACTGAGTTTTCATGAGATTGTGTCATTCATTGTGGGAGAAGGTATCTACGCATAGTCTGGAAAAGGCATCAAAGCCTTCTCCGCGCTTACCGCTCCAGCCGTTCATAAGGTCGTGAAAATATGCTCGCTAAAAAAGAAGATCCAAGGCCAAACGCCAGCAGATGCAGCCCCCACCCTGTTCCGGGGCCCAGAATGCAAGCTCACGCCTCACCTCTGACAATCTTCGAAACAGCGCTCTTGACCAGCACCCACATTGGCCCAGCGTTGACTTCCTTGCCGCCGCCCTCCTCCATCCCGCATTTCCTCTTCCACGCATCTCTCCACCCTCGCTCCGTATCCTTTTGCTTGAGCCTCATCAGCTGCCCCGCTCGCTTTCCTTGCCTTCTGTACCCCGCCATGAATGCGTCCCATTCTTTCCTCTCCTTGACGAAGACGACTACTCCGTTTCCTGCATCGATAGGCTGGCTGCCTCTAGATAGAATCCGCGCTTCCCACGCGCTGCCCATGGATTGAAACGTAAAGTTCGCGCTATGCAAGACGTAGTAGCGCTTCCGTTTGCCGAACTTTGACGCAGCGTTGGAGGAGGGCGTGATCCAGTGTGTTGCGCGTGAGTAGATGCCGTCTGCCAGTGCTTCGTGGAGAAGCTCTGAAGGGATGTACTGGCGGCACTGAAGAAGCAACTTGTTACGGAGCAGACTGATGTCGATGTCTGGGTGGGCGGTAGGTATTTGTGGCGAATGAGACAACAGTGCTTTGGTCTGCGTACGCGTTGATCGCGCTGGTGGCTTCGATATGCGTCCTGATGCTCGAATGACAGTGACTGGGTTGCTGAATTGGTGAGGGGTAATCGTCTGCGTTTGGATGGGCGCCATGATAGTCGTGGTGCTCAGTTGAGAGTGGTGTGTGCTTTGTAGGCGGTGTCAAGTCTCGTAGGCTTCAAAC